ACATCTCCTGCGTTGGTAGGCAGATTTTTACCACTGAGTCAGCTGGGAAGCCATGTGAAGAACATCTGATTTGGGGCCCAGCCTGAGTTGAATCCAGGTTCTACCACTTGGGCAAGGCACTGTATCTCAGTAAGCCTTTCTGAAGTTAGAATTTTCTTTCCTAAAAATATAGAGATGATTATACCCACTTAATAGGTTTGTTGTGAAGGTCATGAGGTACGTACGCTAAGTGCCCAGCCCAATATCTAGAAAACTAGGTACTCAATAAGTGTTACCTGCTGTTATTTCCCCTTTCTCAGTTTTTGTTTTTATCTCACACTAGGTTACTGCTATCCTTTTTCAGAACTGTAGAGAACGTGGATGGACTAACTGCTGTAGCACAGGGTGTGTGCCTTTCTGAGAGTGGTTCTGAGCATTGCCTTCTTTCCCTGTCCTTCTGGCCTGTCTGCCATGAGCTCACACCCCTGGTTCACTACCCTTTGTCTTATGCTCCTCTTTCCCATTGAATGCAGTTGAGGGACCAGAGGCTAGTTTTACCCTGATTTTCCATCTTCGTCTCTACCCCAACTCCCAACTTTTCTCTTGAACTACAACATATGAAGTAAGTTTTGTTCTCCAGCTGAAGATTAGACACACAGTGAAAATGGTGCCAGCCTGCTGCAGGACTAGATTTTCTTTGTTCAGAGTGCAAAAGAGCCTCTATGTCAAGACTGAGGTCGAGAAGACCATCTCCCTGAGTCCTCCTTGCTAGCTAGAGGCCACATTCTAGTATGCCAGGGTTCTCTAGTGATTTGTTCTCTTTCCTCCTTTTGCGCATTCATCATTGAGAGAAAGCAAAGTACAAATAATGCTAAACTCTGGATTAGAAAGTTTAATGTTCTTGTCTTTGCTGTGTGTGCTGTGCCTAGTTGCTCAGTCATGTCCAACTCTGCAACCCCATAGACTGCAGCTTGCCAGACTCCTCCGTCCATGGGGATTCTCCAGGCAAGAATACTGGAGTGAGTTGCCATGCCCTCCTCCAGAGGATCTTTCCAACCCAGGGATCAAACCCAGGTCTGCAGCATTGCAGGCAGATTGTTTACTGTCTGAGCCACCAGGGAAGCCCAGGAATACTGGAGTGAGTCGCCTATCCCTTCTCCAGGGGATCTTCCCGACCCAGGAATCGAACCAGAGTCTCCTGCACTGCAGGCAGATTCTTTACCAACTGAGCTACAAGGGAAGCCCTGTTCTTGTCTTTGGTGTAGCTCAATTCACTTCTTTCAGTTGTTTTTACCTCTGTAAAATGGCAATAATAATTCCTGAATTTTGACCTTACCAGATTAATATTACTAGATATGAGATGTGGAAAGCTAGGTAAACTAAAGTGCTATTTGGTTGTAAAGTAGCATTATTACTCTCCTTTCTTATTTATTTATCCAGGGTGGGCCAGGCTTGGGGGAGTTGGTGCCAGACTCTGCACTTGCTTATTTACTTTTCCAGGACTCTGTCCTACCTGAGGGGCAGAAACTGACAAGGCTGCCAAGCCTATATAGCCTGTGATTGGCGTCCATGATCTTGCCATCCAGGAGATTGCAACACCATAAGCCAAACCATGGATCTGCTGACTCTCAGCTTCTCCCAGCCACGGTTCCTACAGCTTGGTAACATGGTAACAGCTTGGTAACAGGGCCTGGCAAACTTCCCCTCTCTCTGCTCCACTGGAGACTCCAAGAAAGAATTTTAAACCAAAATTTTCTCTCAGAACTTTGACTTATCTGCTATAGATACTTGGCTAGACTGTCAGAACATCCTGGGAATTCTCTGAGAGAATAGTATGATACTTCTGGCTATCACTGAGTACTTACTGTGTGTCAGAAGCTATAGTTAATGACTGTTCTTACCATGTTTAATCCTCGTAGCATCTTTTGAAGTGGGCATTTATTATTTTTAGCTTACTGAAAAGAAAACTTAAGTTCAAAAAAGTTAAGTATTTTGTTCTAAGTCACATAGTAAGTGGCAGAGTTGAAATCTGAACCTAATTCTGTCTTGTTCCAAAATTGTTGTTCTGACCACCATTTACCATGAGGCCTCCCATCACTGTACAGGAAGAGGGCCATGTGCTACAGACAAAAATTCAGATTTCCAGTCAAATGATCTATATGCAGATCCCAGCCCTGCCTGTCTGATCAGGGGCAAGTGGTTTTCAGCTTCTCCAGCCACAGATGTTGTCTCTTTAAATCTTCATCATAGCCGTGTGACATAGGTGCTGGTCTTATCTCTGTTTTGCATTTGAGGGAACTAGGCCACAGTGAGGTAAAATGATTTGCCCAAGGTTACATAAGAGTAGTGTAAGTGGCAAAGCCAGAACTCAAGTCTGGGTCTAACACCTGGTTCTGTGTTTGGTCCACTGTTTGCTCACAGCCAGCTCCCGAGACCCGGTCTCTCAGGTAGACTTCACAGCTCTCAGGATGCTGACTGGAAGCCTGGGGGAGAAGCAGCAGCCTTGTCCTCTTCTGCTGTCTTTTTTCCTCCCATAATCTCTTCTTCTTAGAAACCTTACCAAGGCAACATACACATCTGCAATCCAAGGAAAAGTTTATGCAGTGCTTAAAAATTGCTCTGAGTACCCTACAGAAGCCCACGGGTCTGTGTCTCATTCTTTGTGTGCATTTGTGCTGTTAATTTGGCAGCATGGTGGGGTGGGTGGAGTGTTGAGAAAGTTATGTATCAGTTTACTCTTGTTAAGGTTGGTTGTGAAAGTTAGAGATGATAAATATTCAAGGACAGCAGGTAGGGCCTTATTAGTTGATGGCGGTTATTTCCCCGGGCAGCTGGGTCTGATAGAAACCAGTCTGGGAGTCAGGAGTTCTCAATCTATTATTCTCTTATTCTCGGCCATGTGAGGTACTGTCTCTTGAGAGACTAGGTGATCTCTAAGGACTTGACTTTCAGCATTAATATAGTGTGCTTTTTAAAAATGAAAGTAGTAAATGCTTATTTTTAAAAAATGGAAAAGGACAGTGAAGGGCCCCAGCTTCCCTGTATTCAGTTCATTCCTGAGCTAACACTTGTTGCCTGTTTGTGTCCTTTTCACTGTTTTCTGTGATTTTAAGTATATTCAAGTATGTTAAATATGTGTATTATAATTTACTGTGCAAAATATTATAATTTATATATGTAAATGTATATTACATATGTATGTATATATGTTATATACCTTGGCATTTAGAATACATACTGCATTATGACTTGATCCTTTTCCATTTGTTTTGAGCACTTTTTCTTGTTAGTACTTAAAGATGTAGTTTATTTTATTATAAATGTTTTCTAATTTATTGTTATCCCCTAATGATTACATGCCATGTTTTTTTTAAAGCAAATACACATAATGTTGAGTTGTTAATTTTTTTTTTTTTTTTTTCAGGAAAAGAAGAAAAAGAAACATAGAGACAGGAAGTCATCTGACTCTGACAGCTCAGACTCTGAGAGTGAGACAGGCAAGAGGGCAAGGCACACGTCAAAGGACAGCAAGGCAGCAAAGAAGAAGAAAAAGAAGAAGAAGCACAAGAAGAAGCACAAGGAGTGAGAGTGGAGAGTAGAGAGGGTGGCTGAGAGAAGGAATCCGGAGCCTGTGCTTTGAAGCTCTGGCTCCTAGAAAGACCCAGTGTGAGAATACGGCCTCCCACCCTCTTCTCTCCCATGGGAGATGGCGTCCCCTTGTGCCACAGGCAAGTCTGGGAGTTAGGTATCAAAAGCATCTGCCTGAATGAGTTGTTTCCTTATCACTCTTGGTCCCTTTGCAAGTGACCCCTGCAGCTCACCCATTCATTCACCCAACTTCATTCAGCAGGAGGTCGTATTACCCTCTCCAGCTGCCACTGCCAGAGCCATCCAGGCTAGAGCCACAGGAGCTGCTGTGGGGGTGAGTCTGGCTATAGTTGAACAGTGATTGGCCTCTCCCTATTGGCCTGCCTGCCCTGGCCTGATTGGTGGATGGTCTCTGTTACATCCAGCACACGGGCAGAGGGAGATTGGCAGTACGAGGGAGAACACGGTAAGAAGCGGTGCTCACTTTTCCCATCCCCCAACATGATTCTGCTGTGTTAGAAGTGACAGCCAGTGGTCACAGCCAGAAAAGCATTGTTTGCAGTGACTTAGCTTGTTTGTGACATTCCGCCAGACCACTGAACCAGACGGCTCAAGCCGAAATCATTGCTTTACTTTGTCTTTACTACAGCGTGAGTCAGTTGGTCCCATTTCAGGTTTCTGTTTAAATTCCTGGTACTAAATGGAAGTGTGTCTGGTTTTAAACTTGCTGAGAGTCCTTTTTAGTGTAATCCTTCTTCCTGTAAACTTAAAAGTTCCTGTAGACTTAAAAGTCACTGAGGCTGCATTAGGGGACAGGAAAACATTTAATATGTCACTTTAGACCTTGGAGAGTGGCCCAGCTAAGGTACAGAGCCAGAGGCACTAGCAGGTCACAGCCTTCTTAGGAGATCACTTATAAGCCCTCACTTCTGTAATGATCAGATGACCTCTCCCCCAGGGCTGATTGGAGAACCAGTAAGAATTTGTAACCATGAGTCATGGCCTGGCACATATGCAGAAGCTCAGCAGTCATCTTGGCCAGTGGGCATTTTCTCCCACCACCACTGGCACAAGCCTGGATCTTGTGTTCTGAAGAGAGACCACAGCATTCCACAGAGAGGAGCAACTGTCCAGACCCCCGGCATTCAGTACAGGAGGGCCAGGGGTGATGGTTCAGAAGTCCTGTCACTGAGCAATTGGTCCAGGTTGGACTAGCTCATTTGGACTTGGGAGGGGGGGCACTGTGAAGGCAGGGTGTAGGTACAGCTGTTTTATTTTTTGTGTAAGTACACCTGTTTTATTTTTTGTACGTGTGAGGTGATCAACTGTCACTGTCCCTGAGGCTGTCCATTCAGTCTCTCATCCGATACCGCTTCCTGAGTAGCAGTCTTTTCTGCCTACTCTCTGACACACAGAAACTGAGACTCCCAGAATCATGTCACCAAAGGCGGAAAGGCAACTGGGTGGCCTTGGCTCTGCTTTATTGACCTCAGAGCACCCTTTGGATGCAGTTAAAAAAACAGACACAATGAGAACGGAACTGGATCCAGGCTGGTGCCACCTGACCCCAGGAGAATTTCCCCAGTCAAGGTGGATTTATACAAAATGCCAGAGGAGAAAAGTGAGGCAGTCTGGTGCCGAGTCCAGGAGCAGCCAACTGGCGGAACAGCAGTCAGTGGAGGGAGAGGGCAGGTCATGCCTCTTTCTCGCAAGTACGAGTGCAAACTGCACTGCCATGGGTGAGTGTCTGGAAGAAAGACAGTCAGATTAGGGCAAGGGTGTGGGCATGGAAGGTACTGGGAACACTCCATTCTGATGGGGAGAGCCCGCTGCTGCTGTATTAATAATTTTCATTTATTGCCTACCTACTTATACGCCAGGTACTTGACAGATAGGGAATCCACCCAAGTCTTTAAGTTAGGTATTGTAATTCTTCTTGCAGAGATTTGGGAAAATGAGCTTTCAGGGAGGAGGCAACTTCAAGATCCCAGAGTGTTTCTCTTTCCCTTGTACCATTCCTTTCCATCCTTAGTGCCTAAGAAGGTGCCTACACATAGTAGATGAAAAGGTGAATAAAAATGTCCAGAGACTCTTGGGAAAGGACTATCTTAGGCCACCTATTCTCCATTCTTTCCCAAACTTGGGGTGGTGCTAGGGCCAGAGGCCAGAGCCCCCATCATCCTGCCTGGCATCATACAGCCAGGCCCATGGTTTTACCATCGCCTGATTGCCCAGCGAGTATTTGGTCCTGTATATCACATTCCCAGCAGAGCCAGGTACCTCACTCTAAACTGCAGGGACCCCTGCCCTGTGTGAGTGCAAGAATGTAGTGAGCAGGTTACACTGACCCAAGAAGGTCTGCAATGGAGATGCTGAGGCGAAAACCTGAGACCCTACAGAATAAGGAGGCAGAGACCACAAGTGGCTGCTGTCTCTACCCTTGGGGGGTGTTCAGTCAAGGCTACATTCTTTGAGTGAGGTCCTTAGACAGATCTGACAGCCTGGTTGTTGCTTTCAACCCAGGCCTCAGTCAGGTACTTGGAATAGGCCGGGCATGGAAAGCAGTGAGAGGAGGTGAGTGAGCCTGGAATGAAGTAGAAAGGACTGTGCTGTCGGGGCCCAACCCATCACCAGCCTGTCCCTGCCCAAAGGGTTAGGAGAGGGGAGCCTCTCCTACAGGGCTGGAATCACATTTGGCCATGCTTTCTACCTCTCCCTGGGCAAGGCAGTGGGCCCGTGCAGAGGATGAAACGAAGGCTGTGGAGTGTGCCTACTGCAGTCCTCCCACACCAGCGAGGCTTTGTGCTCTGCAACCACTCTCTCCTTCAGACTTCCCAGCAGTCCTACAAGGTTGTCGTTATTAGAACCCACTTTACAGTTGGACTTGGAGAAGGCGACTTGTCCAAAATCATGTACCCTATAAGCTGAGATTTACGCAGAGGCATGTACAAGCCCAAAGCCACGGTATTACGAGCCCTAATACCACCCAGGCCTGCCTCCACCCTCCACTGGTCACAGGGCATGACCTTGGCTTTGCAAAACAGGCTTGGCTGAAGGGACAGTAGAAACCAATTGGGTAAGGCTTCAAAGTTAATCCATCTTACCAGAATGAGTTTCCCATCAACTATTTCCCGCACAAGTGATGTCTCTTGTCCATTCCACTTTTGCACGTGGACAAGTTTGCCGCCATCCAGCGTCACGATCGACTGTGGAAAGAGGGTGGAGGCCTGAGCTGAGATCTGAGCTGGGACTGGGGCAGGAAGAGGTCTGGTCACCGGGGCCACAAGGGACTTAGCCTCTAACCCGAACTATTGATGGTGTGAGAGCCAGAGCTCAGCCAGCCCACCTCCAGCCTAGTCCCATGAGCCATCTAGCTCACCACTGCTGCTTGGCTGGAAGAGGGGCCTTCAGCTGCTGGGCAAGAAGGGAGAAGCAGGCAATACAGTGAAGTCAGTCTGACTCTGAGAAGTGCCACCAGCCTTCAAGATGGGCACTTATCCCATACCCTGGGTGATGCCCACAGCCCCAGTCCCTCCAAGATACAGGAGGCGGGTACCAGCCTAATCCCTGGGAAAGACCGGTGAGGAGGAATAATCCTGAGACTCCCTGATGGTGATCACACATAGTGTCTAAAAGAACCTTGGAGATGCGAGGTATTGGAAAATGAAGACTGTCCTGTCCATATTCCTATGCTCCTTGGTCCATATCTTGTGACCTCTCCCCTCCAGCTAAGTAAGCATCAACTGCCAGGTCCTGGGACTGGGTCCCTTGGGGTGTTCCACAGCCCTGGTCAAATGTCCACTTCGTCTTCTGGGTGCTGCCAGCCTACATCAGCTGGCTTTCATCTGGCAACTTTTCCCAGGTCTCTCTAGAAATTTGGGGGCTTTAAGGCAGACTGGGGGACCCTGACTGACCAGCAGATCTAAAGAGGCTGTGTGTATGTGGTTGGGGCTTGAGGGGTGGTAGACGTGCACCCTTACCACCACCTTCCTCCTCATTCCCATACCTCTAGTTTTTGGTCCATTCAGAGCAAGTTACTTTTAGCCGAGGCATCCCAGAGAACTACTGTTGGGTTTAATTGGGGTTCTTGCCCTTCAAGAAGATAGGCTAGCTCAAGGAGGTGAAGGTATATGGTAGGGTAAGCACTTCTCTCCAAGGTGGCCTGTGATTTTGGGGTACCATCCCCTCTATGCTGCCAGCTTCCTATGTGATCCTGGGCTGGGCTCCAGCTTCCTCCACAGGGAGGATACTAGACCCTCTCTTGTCCTCGGGGGCAGCTGTGAGGAAGAAGAGATAGGGTCTAGTGGAAAGGTACTGCTAGAGGAACACGATGTCAAGGGCAAAACCCCTTTGTTTTCTCTCTCCCATGCCTGGCTCGGGCTGGGAGGCCTGAGGCAAGCAGCCAAGACAGCCACCTGCAGACAGGCTGCCAAGACAAGTCCTGAGACTGGAGGTGGATGCCCTCTCCCTCCCTCGAGGGAGAGGGGTGGAGGCTTGGCGAGAAGATCCTACACACACACCAAAGACAGTGCTCCATCCAGAAGATAACTTTTCTTCCTTGTAGGCTGGCAGCACTGGAAATGGTTTCTCAGGGTCACTGACCAAGTCTAGGAGGCGGAGGCTGAAGAAGCATCTGAGTAGGTCTCCACCTCTTGTCCTCGGCTGTCTCCTTGGCTCCTGGCAGCCAGGATCACCTGTTCAGTTGAGGACCCTGACTTCTGGGCATTGTTCCTAAAGTACTTGAGGTCACAGCCATGTCCACATAACTTCCCCGCCATCTATGGAAGGGGAAGGAATGCCAGAGCCATTGCAGTCCATGTGCAAGGTCACCCAGCTGGAGCTAGTGTAGACGCTAAGGTCAGAATATCCTGGCTCTGCAATCCAGTCCCACAGGCAACAGGTAGATGCTTCCCAAGAAGAGAGGGAAGAGAACAGGACAGGACTCACATTTCTTTAACACTTGGGACATCCCAGCACTCCACAGGCCAGCTTCAATCCCCACAACAGCCCACCCCTCAAGGTGCAACAATAGGGTGCCGCCCTATTCCCCTTCAGGGCCTTCCACCCCCCATGGCCCCTTCCTCAACTCACCTTGACCTTCCTGTCATCTGCCGTGGTCTCATCAAACTCGACTCCCAGCTTGAAGCTGATCTCTGTGTTCTTGAAGGTGCTTTGTGTTTTTATGATGACTGTGTCCCCATTCACTTCGATGATTGTGGTAGGCTTGGTCATATTGGCCACCTGCCTGGTAGCAAAACCGACCCCTGAGGCAGAGGGAAGGGTGTGAGCATGAGCTGGAGTGAGAGGCCAGGTACAAGGGGCCCAGTGACCAACTCTTAGACCAGAATGTGGGGAAGGGAGAAGAGGCGGGTGAGAACTTTCAAAAGGCGTTGCGTGGCTGTTTTGTAATTCAGTTTTTCCCGTTAGCTCTGTGCAGTAAAGAGACATTGCTGATTCCACGAGACATGAGAAACTTAACGGACAAGCGTGCCTCACAGCAAGTCAGTGGCAGAGCTGAGAGCAGAATAAGCTACCATTAAGTGCCTCCTGTGTGGTAAAAACCACACGTGTAAGTCTCATTCAGTCCTTCCAGTCTCCCTGCAGGACTGATGCTAGTATCTCTACAGATGCAAAAACTGAGTGGGTTGAAGCCCAGGGTCACAAATCTGGAATTCAAATCTAGAATGTTCGACTGCAGAGCCCACTTTACTGCTCAGCTAAAAAGGCTGGAGCCCAAGGCTCTGGTCCAGGGCACTTGAGCAGCTTTCCAAGCACAGGCTGAGGGAGAAAGAAAAGAAATGTGGACTTTGCCTTCTGGAACCTATGGACAAGGGTTTTCCACTTCTGAAAGCTTTTGCTCTGAGATGCACTGGTGCTCATCCCCCATAAATGATAACAAAGACATTTTCAAAACCTCTTCATGATCTAGGAGGTAGGCAAGAGGGAGTGTTGGTCTCAGTGTGCAGTTTTAGGAGAGGCCTGAAGTGGTAGGCAGTCAGACCTCCAGTCCAGGTCTCCTGTGGGGACTCCCCTCGGCCTCAGCAAGGCTTCCCCAATGCTGCAGAGAGCATGGAACAAAGAGCCCTGCAGGTCGTGGTTTCCCTGGTATCTGGCCTTTTGCCTCCAACTTCCCCTTCCAACGGTCTCTGCTGAGCTGTTCTCCAAGAGCAGAGGCTTTGGTGAGGTGGTGGGTGGAAAGTCCCTGGATGTGCCTGGCTACATGGGTGGTTTTACTTAATGTTTATAAGAGCCCTGAACAGTTGGCTTTATTATCCCTAATTTACAAACAAGGCTTTGAGAGTGAAGTGACTTGTCCAAAGTGAAAGGATCAGTGGTTTATCTAAATTTGAATTTAGCCTCCAAAACTGTTCACTATTCCTCCTGGGCCATCCTGTTTCCCAGCATGCACTTCATCCAGGTCCTGAGGCCGCCAAGTGTGCCTGAGATCACTGACACTTAACTAGGCTGGGCCTCTTCGTCCTCTGAGAACTTTTGGTTTAACATAAGAGGGGCTCAGGCACGCTTTGCAGCTGTGCTGCTGCTGGCCCACCCTGCCTGGCCACTGAGGGATCTGGCCTTGCCCCCTGTTATCAGGGGCTTCCCAGGTGGCACATGGTAAACAATTTGCCTGCTAATGCAGAAGGTGCAAGAGATGCAGGTTCAATCCCTGGGTCAGGAAGATCCCCTGAAAAACGAAAGAGCAACCCACCCCAGTATTCTTGCCTGGAAAATCCCAAGAACAGAGGAGTCTATTGGGCTACAGTCCATGGGGTCACAGAGTCGGACACGACTGATCACGCACCTGTTATCAGAGTGAGTCAGGCTAATCCCACTCCCCAGCACAGAGCAGGACCTTGTCACTGCGCAAGGAGCTCTGTTTACTTAGGACCTACCCAGAGGTGTGGAGTGTTTGAGGAAGGAAGTCACTGTGGAGTCAGTGAGGGACTGAGCTAAGAACAAGTTACAGAATTAGGAGACTCGGGAAGAGATGGATTCTACTTAGAAATGAAGCTGAAGCTATTTACTGAGAGCTGAGGGGGGTCTTCTCTCCCCTACGGCTTCTCATTTTTTCTATCTGTACAACAAACAGGCTGGGTGAATTCTTAGACCTAACCCAAGTTGGGACAAAATAAGAGATCAAGGGTGGTAAGGATGGTGCAACTCACTTCAGGGACCTAGGTCTTCAGTTCTAATGTCTGCTGGGAGAGACTTAGGGGGATTGGGGGTGTGGAGCTAGCTCTGGGCATCCCATCTTCCCTAACAACGGCCCTGGGCCTCCTACTTCTCCAAGAATTATTGCCTTCCTGGAGTCATTGGGCATAGTGCTTAGCATAGAGGGGCAGTTGAGCACTTTGGCCTCAAAAGTCCATACTTGTGGTCCTTATTTCAGGGGTCAGGAACAGGTGGGAAGTGCCTGGGGTCAAGCCCCCACCCCCTCCCTCCTTGGTTAACTACTATAATCCAGCAGTCCCCTGGGAGGAAGGTGTAGAACCTAGCTCAACCATGAACATTCCAGTTTTCCCCATCCCAGCTTGGGGAACTGGGATAATCTCATAGCTGGAGATTCCAGAGAAGTGATATGATCTTCTCCCTCTAGCTCATATCAGAAGGGGAAGGGCTGAGGTCATTGATGGATTAAGCAGTTCTTACTACTCCCACCCCCAGGGCCTATAGTGGGAACTGCTCTGAGTTTAGTTAGGATTTAGAAATCTAGGTATTCACATCAGCTCTGTGGAATTGATTTGACAAGTCTCTACTCTTTCTGGTTCTTGGCTTCTCCATCTGTTTGAACCAAGGCACAGGGACCTCTGGAGTCCTTCTCTGCAAGATTCTTTGAATCTTCATTCTCCTCCATCCTGGCACCACACCCTCCTAGGCCAAAGACCCTCCCTGCCATTACTAGGTCTTGGCTTTGCTCCAGGCCTTTTTGCTGCACCCCCTAACCAGATACTTCCCCAATGAGCAGTTATCCTTGGGCTGCAGCTGGTGATGGGGCTTCTTGCCCTACCCTACCACTAGGCTGGTTGGTGAGAAAGAGGGCAACCTCCAGCAACAATCTACCCTAACTAACCCAACACAGAGGAGCAGGGGTTCTTGCTAACTCTGCAGGCCCATCTTACCTCCTCCTCAAAGCCTGTTCACAGCTGTTCCCCCTTCCATCTTTCTCCTGGGGACAACCTACTTAGGACACTTCCGGTCCATTCTATTCCCATTCACGGTTCAGTTTCCAGTTCCTAAACTGCCCATGCTTCTTTTCTTTTTCTTCCTCACCTTCAATCAGTGCTCCTCTTTTACCCACACCCCTACCTCCAGATCATAAGCCCTACTTCCTCGAAAGTGCCTCCCTGCCCCCCAATATCAACCGACACAGCTGCCCCCTGGAGCCTCCTTGCCTGCGAATTTCTCTGACCAAATTCAGACCCTTAAAGTCCCCTCCCAGAATTCCCAGGCGATCCAGGGGTTGGGACTCCGCGCTTCCACTGCAGCGGGGCAACCGTTCATCCTGGATTGGGGAACCAAGATCCTACATGCGCCTCGGGAAGGCAAAAAAATTTTAAAAAGCCCCCTCGCAACAGGCCTCGCATGCCCTAGCCCAGGCTCCCACCTTCTCTGCGTCCCCTGGCTCCCCAACGTTGACCAGGAGGGATGCAGCTGGCGTGCAAGATCTAGCCAGGGCTAGATAACTGCTCCGACCGGGCACGCGGCCATCCCCTCCCTAACACAGCATCCATCCCAAGCCCAGCATCCCGAGCCGTCCTCACCGAGTGACTTCATGTAGTCATCGAAATTCTTGCTGTCCACTAACTTCCAGGTACCCACGAAGGCGTCCACCATGGTGAAGCTGGGCTAGGTTGCGAAAGAGACGACAGAGAACGCGCGCAAGGACTCTGGGACCAGCAGCTCCCAACCCGCGCTGCCGCTTTAAAAGGCCCGTGTGTCACGTGACGGGGGCGTGGCCCACACCCCCGCGCCCGAAATAGAGCCCCAAGCGGGCCCTCTCTCGCCGGGGGCTGGTCGCCCATCCCCCAGTGCTCCGAGAGGCGAAGGGGCTGCCGGTGTCACCCAGCTTGCCTACGTCAGCGCGGGTCCCGAGGTCCGAGTCCCTGCCCCGGGCTGGTAAGCCCTGCTCCCTTCCCTGACCTCAAGGCGGCTCTTCGGAATCTGAGAAGGAAGCAGTTGGGGGCACGGTGCCCGCGAGCTGAGGCGCAGGCCACCGACATCTGTCCCCTGGTCCCTCCCAGAGCTTGGGGTCAGAACAGAGATGAGAGACCAGAGGAGAAAGGAAACTCGCCTTTGGGCATGATGCCCACGCCGGGAAAGCACTGGCCGACTCTTCGCGGCGCAGGCATCATCCCGATCTTCATTTTACAGTTGAGGGGAGCCAAGACTCAGCGTGGGGCTGACAAGTTCGCAGGAAATAAGGAGACGGTGAGTGGGGAGTCCAGATGGCGAGCCTGGTCTAGCTGGTCCGAGACCCCGCGCTCTCCCACCGCTCCCCACTCTGCCCGATGGCGGGGAGAGGCACCGGGGGCAGCGTGTGTCCTTCGCCCGCTCCCGGCAAAAGCGTGACCCTGACCGTCGTGCCGCGTCTGCCCCACACGTGCTCGCCCCTCCCTGCGGAATGTCTACCGCGCGCCTTTCCGCCCAGCCGTCCAGCTCCCACCTCCGCCCTGCCGGTGCGCCAGGCTTTTCTGACCTCTGCGCACAGCTCCCAGCCTTTGCTCCCGTCGGTCGGCCGTTGCCTCCTCGCCCTTCTTCCGAAATTCCGTCCTTCCAGCCGGCTTTCCAAGGCTCAAGGACAGCTCCGTTCTGCCTGACTGCCGCTGGCCCCCAGCTGCCGTCCTTTCTCTGACCTTCCACCGGCAGGCAGCCTTCCACAGGCAGCCTGCACTTTCAGAGACTGGCATTCATCTACCTTGTTTGACACTACAGTTTCCAAAGCACTTTTAATAATAAGATCCACCTTGTGTTGCTGTTTATTGCATGTTGGGGGCTTTAAGTGCATTGTCTTATTGAACTTTTAAAACCAAGTTCCTGAAGTAGGTGTTATTATTATCCCTTTTACAAAGGAGCAGACTTGAGGTTTAGAGGAATCCTTTCATTTTTTAATCCAACGGTTATTAAAGCACCTACTTTGTGCCAGGCCCTGGGCTAGGCTCTGGAGAGACAACTGGGAATATGACACGCACTTACGAAGGAAAACGCAAAACAGAAGGGGATGGTGCCCAACTGCACTTGAACCAGCAGAAATCTGCAGGGTGGGGCCCAGGAGCCCTGGGATCCCTCTAGCTCGGCCACACACGTACAGTGTGGCGGGCCACCTCCCTGGACCTCTGCTTCTCTATGTGGAAGTGGAGAACATCTGCCTCTCTTCCCCTAACGTTCTGGGAAGCAGGCCAGGGAGGAAGAGCCCTTTCTCCCCCAAGTTCTTGGTTCTGCTGGACAGGTCCACTTGCCAGAACTGAGCGGGCCTATTTCTGCCAAAGCTGCAGGGACAGGCCTCAGGGCTGGGCACCGAGCCCCAGTGACCTCACTGCCGGAGCAGGTGCAGGAGGAGAAGGGGATCGAGCTGGTTTCTAACCCAAGGTCACAACCTTTAGACACAGGGCTGCCTCCTCTCTCAGACACAGAGTGGCCGGAGAGCCAGGGGCCAGAGCGCTCTCCCTACATGGTCTTTATAAAGCAGTGCTGACAGCTGGGGCTGGGTGAGCAGCTGCTGGCAGAGAAATTTGGGTTCCAGTTCTGATTCCAGTGGGTGCTGCCTATGTGGATGTGGGCAATTCACTTAAGCCACGCTGAGTCTCAGCTTCCTCTCAAAATGGGGGAAATGACAGTATTTACCACACAGAGGTGTTGGAGGCTCTTAAATACATTTAAAATGCTAAGCAGGGTAGACTGAATCAGTGTTCAATGCTGCTGCTGTTATTATCATTATAGGATAATTATTATTATCTCCATGGTTAATTCTGGACTCCTGAGACCTGCTCTCAGCTCTGCTCCTGACCTGCCGGGCCACACAAGGCAGATTGCTTTGCTTCTCTGATCCTCAGTTTTCTTATTTATGAGACAGGATTAGAAACTGCTGTAGCTGCGAGGAGGGGGCTCTAGAGATCTTCAGAAGTCTTTTGCATCCTCTCGTGGGCCCTGTCTAAGCTGTGCTTTGAGAAACTCTAGACAAACCCCAGACCCATTATTCTTGCAGTTCTACCCCATCTTTGCCCGCCCAGCACCTGACATGCTCAGACCTGGCTCACTGGAATTGACTCCCAAGCCACACCCTGTCTCCTTCCCACAGGACTTTTATCCTCCCTTCTAGGTATATGCAGCCTTCTTCTTATCCCTCTCATTACCTGCATCCTCCCCACCCTCTTGTGCTCACTACACTGGGGGAAAGCGGGGCAAGGGGAGGGAATGTGTTAGCCCTGTCCCTTTTCCTGTCCCCCCGTTTTGTTGCCCTTGGTAAATCCAGATGTGGATTTAACATCTAGCAGGCAGCAGGGACCAGTCCCTGCCAAGAGCAGCATCACCCCAGCCCTCGCCCTATAGTGATGTCACTGTTCTGTTTCCACAGCAACCACAGGCTGGAAAGATGGAGAAGAGGAGAGATGAGTAACCAGGAGAGAACCAATGAGATGGGCCGGCAGCGCCGGATGATCCGTGGGGCCATGGGAAGGCGGGCGACGGAGGCCTACTCAGCATCTTCAGCTGTTCCCTGGCCCTCCCTGCCATCTGGACGCCTCCGCTAGGGGATGTGCTGCTGGCATAGGAGAGATGCGAGAGGTAGAGGCCAAAGAAGCTGAGCTCGGAGGCTCCAGTGACCCAGGGACGTGGAGACCCTCCCTTTGCCCCTTCAGGGCCTAAGTCTGTGGATGCTGACCACCCTCAGCCCACCCCCAATAACTGGGAATTTTCCTTTTTGGCTCGTTACGGTGGTGGGGTTCTCTGCCTCTGCCTGCCACTAAATCAAGTCTTAGACAGACTTTCCCTCTGCACTCACATGCCCCTCCCTTGTTGCATGGTCTGTTCAGAAGCAGTATCTTTGGGAAGAGGCCTGGCTCCTAAATCCCAAGCCTGCCACTTACTAGCTAGAGACCTGAACTAGTGCCTTCCCCCTTTTGAATCTCCTTTCTTCCCAAATGGAGGGAGGCCATCTACTTTTCTGAATTGTCATGAGGATGGAAGAAATAACAGATGGTAAGCCTCACACACACTAACAATGAATGGTGACCACACCCCCACACCTTCTTTCGGGGTCTCCTCCCCAGGGCAGTTGACCCAGCAGTGCTCAAGAATAAACCAAGGCTCTTTGAGACCCATAGGAGAGGACCCAAATATATCTATTTCTCCTCATTGATGTCACTGGGGGCCTTCAGATGCTGCAGAGGAGTTTCCTCATCTCTCCCTTTCTGTCTGTCTCTAAATAAATTGAGCATTGCCTGTGCCCAGCACTGTGCTGGGCTCAGTGGGGACCCAGGGGGACAGGAGAGCCACAGCTCTGCACTCCCTGAACTCACAGTGCCGGGAGGACAGCTGCCACGGTGGGAGGAATGGAGTGTTCTTTCTGTCACTGGGAAATCACTTCCTCGTTCCCCTAGAGTTCTAGACACTGTGAGTCTGAGAGAACAAATGATGGCAGAAGACAGAGGTTTACTCAACACTGCTTTGCTTTTGAGAAACTGCTGCCTGTGGCAGAGTGCTCCCTGGAAGGAGAACAATGGCTCTTCTTGTGGGAGGTTGGGTGGGGTGGGGCGGATGGGATGCAGCTCCTGGTGGAGGGCAGTCACTCTTCCTTCTCAGAAACCGGCTGTCCTCCCTGTTGCTGGTAGAATCAGCCCAAACTCTTTTAGCCTTATCTCATTTGTTTCATGAGCATAATTTATTGCTTAAGTGCTGCTCTAGGAGGCATGCCTGGCAGATAGTAGGCATGAATGAATGACTACTGAACACTGAGGGAGTGAGTGTATGAACGCATGAGTGAGTGAGTGAATCTGTTTGCCTCCCCAGCTTTAGGGTCTCAGGAGTGAGACTCGCTTGCATTCCTATCCTGCCCTTGTTATTTACCTACTAACTTTGGCTTAGATCACCGTCTCTCTGGGTCTCTTTCTCCATATGCCTAAAGCAGTCCCCACCCAGCTGACCTCCCAAGGACTCTGGGACGATAAGGTTGGATTGGGAATGCAATTACAAAGGTTAATTATTTCTCTTCTCAGCCTGCTTGGAGAGGCAGGCCCCACAGCCCCCAAGCTGTGGCCCCTACACAGCAGCCTCTCTGCCCTTTTGTGCCTTGAAGGGGCACCATGTTTCTCACTTGCTATCTGCCTGGAATACTCTTCCATCCCAGGCCCTGCTCTTTTTTATTTTATTTCCCAAGTTTTATTTACTTGGGTGCCCCCGGTCTTAGTTGCGGTATACAAAATCTTCAATCTTCATTTTGGCCTGTGGGATCTCTTTTTTAATTTTTATTTTTAAAATTGCGGCATGTGGGATCTAGTTCCCTGACCAGGGATTGAACCCAGGCCCCCTGCAGTGGGAGTGTGGAGTCCTAGCCACTGGGCCACCAAGGAAGTCCCAGGCCCTGTTCTTTTAGTTAATGCCTGTTCACTTTTCAGCTTTTAAGCTTAACTCTCTTTGCCTCTAGGAAGCCCTAAACCTCCCTGTTATAGCACTTATCCTAATTTCATGGGATCCTTTTGCTTCAGAACCTGTCTTCCTATTGAGGCTTTCCAGGTGGCGCTAGTGGTAAAGAACCCACCTGCCAGTGCCAGAGACATCAGAGACTCGGGTTCAGTCCCTGGGTCAGGAAGATCCCCTGGAGGAGGGCACGGTAACCCACTCCAGTATTCTTGTCTAGAGAATCCCATGGACAGAGAAGTCTGGCGGGACACAGTACATGCAGTCACAAAGAGTCGGACGGGACTGAAGCGATGTGGCATGCACACACACTGTCTTCCTGTTAAGCCAGAAACCCTGTGAAGGCTCCCCCTGTGCCCACAGGGCCTGGTGCAGGGACGGGCAAGGCTTTGAAGAGCAGACAAACGAGCTCTCTCGAGCAAAGAAAGCCACTTGTCCTCGTCAGTATTCTCTCTGTTTGAAAAGTCCCCCTCCCACCCCCACCTTGTCGACTGCTCTCAACTTTCTTCCTGCCAAAGTATCCCATCTCCTGTCCTCTTTCTTTTCTCATTCCATTCCTGAGGGCCATTTCCGGTGTAGAGTAGGGCCCCAAGTCCTCTCAGGGGAGAAGTGCCCTTCTGGACACAGGTGTAGCCCAAGTCTCTTTGGGGATAGGCAGACTCCCAGGAAATAAACCAGATCCCAGACTTGCTCCTTCCCCAGATGAAAATGTGCCTCTGAAAAATTACAGATGATTAAGATTGGATTAAGTAAAGTATAATTAGAAAGGTAAACCTAGTGCTTACGAAACAGCACCTCACACCACCCTGAGTTCTGGGTCGTGTCCATGTGCCATGTGACCTGGTGCCAAACAGGTGGTTCAGTGGTCACTCCCTCGAGGGCACTTCATTCAGGAGTAGCTTGCCCAAGATTCTGGGAAGTTTCAGCAGCTCCAGGAGGCCCAGCGAACCTGGCTGGTGCAGACATGTGACTGCTGGATTGTGTTCTTAGGTGAGGAGAGCTGGCAGGCCATGGCAGGGGGCCTGGCAGGGAGTTGCTGTTGGCCTCGGGAGTCTGGGGCCAGGCATGTTCCAGGAAGCAGATACAGAGCCAAGGCTGTCAGCCTGGCTGGGCCTTTTTTGAGGGGCCTGGGATCTTGGGGTTGGCTGGGAGTCAGTGAGGGGCAGCACCCCTGGGGTCTGTAGTGAACAGACACCAGATAGGAAAAGGAAAGAGTCTTTTGTGGGAAGGGCTGTGTTGGCTGGGGGAAGACCAGGACCAAAGCCTGTGGCAAGCAGTTTCCCCTTCTGGGGTGGGGGGTGGCAAGACTAAGAATTAGAAGCCTGGGATCAGAGGCAGGAGGGATGTCAGATGAGCACGTTAGCCTTCCCTGCACCGGGGTCATCCAGTGCAGGGGTAAGACGAGCCCGGGGAGGCGCCAGGAGCCAAGGGCCAGCTCGCCACGTCACCTCTATTTGATGAACCAGTGTGTGAACTGTCGGAGGCAGGGGGCTGGATATGGAAAGACCACTGGTGGGCAGCTGAGACGGATCAGCCATGTGAACTTGGCCTGTCAGTGTCTGTGCCTGTCTCCTCTGTGTGATGGGGCTCGTAATATCTACCTTTCAGGGTTGCCGGAAGGGGGGAAACAAGACTGGGTGTAGAGAAGCTTGGTATGTTGTAAAGTGTGGTGCAGAAGATGACCACTAAAGTCCGTGCAGCCCTTACTAAGTGCTGCGCACTGGACTTAACAACTTTCTGTCTTTCAGCTCTTAAAACCCTAACGACGACTCAGGGATGTATGTGCATTTTCCCCATCACCTGTTTACACATGAGAGTGAGGGTTTGGACCCAGGCATACTTTCTTCAGAGTTTGTATGTTGTTGTTCGGTTGCTCAGTAATGTCCAACCCTGCAACCCCATCAACTGCAGCACGTCAGGCTTCCCTGTCCTTCACCACCTCTCGGAGTTTGCTCAAACTCGTGTCCATTGATTTGGTGATGCCATTTAACCCAACCATCTCGTCCTTTGTTGCCCCCTTCTCCTCCTGCCCTCAGTCTTTCTCAGCACCAGGGTCTTTTCCAGTGAATCAGCTCTTTGCATCAGGTGGCCAAAGTATTGGAGCTTCAGCATCAGAGTTTGTATGACTTAACTACTATTCTACATTGCCTTTCCCTGTGACCATCTTTGCCCTGTCTTGCTCTGCAAACTTGGGCGTCTTTTCCCTTCAGTGTCCCCAACTCCATGGCAGGAGTTGGACCAGATAATCTCTTTAATCCTTCAACCTTTGGCAGTCAGTAGTTCAAGAAAGGAACGTCCAAGTGGGGAAGAGGGTGAGGTGGGGCTAGAGGGATGAGGGGACAAACTTTTCCAGCATCTCTGCCCCAACCCTGCCCCTCCTTAGTGGATAGACTGGTAGATTCCCCTTTGCCCTACAAGTTGTGGGGCCAAGGGAGCAGGTGATGTTTAGCCCCAGCCTGAAATACTTGCTGGTCACTGAAGGGGCGGTCACTGAAATCCGAGTGCCAGGATGCCTGACAACAGGCAGGCAGGGCCTGTCTGCCTTGGCTAGCAGACCCTAGAGGACAGCAGGGCCACAGCCTGCTGGAGCCACACCTCTCCACCCACCCATCCTGGGCCCCCACCTCCTTTCTCAGGGTCAGTCTGTCTGGGCACCAGGCCTGGACTGGGGCTTGCTGCTGCTGCTGCTGCTAAGTCTCTTCAGTCGTGTCCAACTCTGTGCGACCCCATAGATGGCAGCCCATCAGGCTCTCCTGTCCCTGGGATTCTCCAGGCAGGAACACTGGAGTGGATTGCCATTTCCTTCAATGCATGAAAGTGAAAAGTGAAAGTGAAGTCGCTCAGTCGTGTCCGACTCCCAGCAACCCCATGGACTACAGCCTACCAGGCTCCTCCATCCATGGGATTTTCCAGGCAAGAGTAGGCCTGGGGCTTGGGACAGGGCTATTCCTAGGCGTCCTTCTTGTCTCCGAGGCCTGGGCCTTCAGCCAACTCAGGGCACCCACATACACCACACACACGCACTCACACCCTGTATCCTTCTCTCTCTCACTCATTGAACCTGACTGCCACTGGTGTGATGCCTGGACCTGTGCAGGTCACTGACAACCAACAGATATCCCAGACTTAACTCTCATTCTTGAGAGATGGGAGGAGTGGGTGCATCTACAGATTATGACAATACAGAAAGACTGTCACTATTCCAGCGGGCTGTACACAGACCGTGAGAACCCACAGGAGGGAGCCGCCCATTCTGCCAGTAGGGCCCGGAAAGGCTTGGCATAGATGATGCCCACCTACCCTTTGGGCTGGGTCTTGGTGAATACATTAGAGTCTGCGGGGTGTGGGGAGAGGAAGTGGGAAAGCAGGGGAAGTGGGGAGAGTTAAACTAGGGTGAGATTTTCCTGCCGATTGATCTGGGAAGGGAGGATAGCTTAGGGCTAGGCAGGAGAAGGTCTTGCCCACCATGGAGGAAGTGGCTTTTCTTCTGAAAGAATGGGAAGCCATTGATGGTTTTGGGGGCAGGGCAGCACCACGCTCTGACTCATATTAAGGGAGGAGTTTTCTGGCACTCGTGTGGAGGCTGTGGCAGCCATCATGATCTGCTCAGCCATGCTGGCAGACAGCCGGAAGGGAAGAAGCAGAGTGGACACACCTCTCCTAATTAAAGGCATGACCTGGTAGCTA